TCTACAATTTTTATTAATTTTCAGTATTGACAGATGTATGAAAGAGAAATCTCTTAGTTGTCAATAGAAGCCTATTTCCAAGTCACCTCTCCTGTATGGAGTACATATGGGTGAAAAAGCACCAATAAATTCAGGTAAAAGTTTTAGAGGTAACTACCACCTTAGTGTGTGTATGGATTTAATTTATTTCTTTCAGTTGATAAATCAAGTGGAACGTGTTTGCAATATCAGCCTCTTGCATTAATAAAGTTTATCTTGGTGATCATCTAATTTGGGGGTTTGTAAATATTATGTATACACACATACAAAGCAAATATTAAGCAAATCCAATCTAGTACTCTTAAAAATGAGTACTGCATAAACAAAACATAAGTCCACATGGCAATTTTATGTTCTACATCCACCCACACAGTTGTTCTCAGCAATTCAAGAACAGAGTTGCATGGGCAGATTGACAGAATTTGAGTTACAGACATCTGTGCTGAAATAATGATCAGCATATGATGGTTTTGTTCATTAAGCAACTGATTATGGTCTTGTTTTTTATTTATTTTATCCTCAAAAAGAAAATAAATACAATAATCACAGCAACAACAACAACAATAAAAAAGCAGAATAAACTCAAGGTACTCTGCTTCCTTCATTCCCTCCCAGAGATCTACTCATCTTGAAACATAATCTTAGTGCTATTCCAGGAGCAAGCCATGATAAAGAAACTCGCACATATTAAAAGAGTGATCTTAAGAATCTGGGAAAAAAATGAATAAACAGCCAGATCCTATTTTCCTTAGCTGCTGCTAATACCACACTGATCCCTAACAGACCAGATATCCAACTGCCAGGCCCCATGAACTGTGCGGCTCAGTGTCTAAAAGTGAGACCTCAGGTTAAAGTCCAAAGCAGGAAGTCTTTTCCTTCCAGGACATTTTGTTTATGTTAACTGTACAAACTTTTACGACCTTCCAAAATGCCTAATCTTTCTTTGAAGCCTTCTAGGGTGAGTGACCTCATTTTGCCTCAGTAACTTCCTATGGCAGCAAGTTTTACAGTCTGATTATCCACTATGTCAGCAATCCTGATAAGCAAAGCAGTCTTGGCAAAAGTCTAGTGATTAAAGCAAGTGGTGAACCACAAGTCTAAGACAAAACCAAGTTTCTTCCTTTAAAGGAAAGACTTTATACCTGTTTTTTTTTTTCTTATTTTTTTTTCCTATGGAATTTTCTCATGCCCCTGTGGTACACAAACAACAGCAGAACTTCCATTTGCAACTGTAATTTTATTCATGTCATCCTCCCATGCCTCTCTCTTGCAAGGTAAACAATTCCCCACCTTCAATTTTGTGAGCTAAAACAAGAGAGAGATCACACCTAGTTTTTGTTCCAACAGCTTGCAGCAAGCTTACTTTTAAGCATCAAGACTTAAATTGATTAACTGAAAAAGAGGATAAATCTGTACCTTTTTCACAGCTTCCTTGGAGCTCCAGAGCACGAACATTTTCTTTCTCTGGCTTTCAGTCAATATTGAATGACTTTTCAAGAACTTAAATTAAGAGCAACAATTAAGCAAGAACTAGTGAACTCCATGGTGTTATCTCAAGGCATGACCTGCCCCAAAACCTCATGTGGTACTGCAGCATCCATTCCTACTGGAACAAAAGGCAGAACAGCAAAATACAACACAACTTTAGGTTGGAACACCTATTGCTTCTGGCAAATGCTGGAAGAACTGAACTGAAGGAACCTGCAGACAAATATACCCAGAATCATTATAATATGAGCTAGATCCCATGGATTTCAAAAGGTCAGGACTGTTACCACACAAACCCATTTATGATTCATATCATTCTACTAAAAGAATATGTGTACCACACCTCTAAGGTCATCTGCTCCATTACAGACAGACCTGTCATCAAATCACTTTTAGTTTATTTTTCTCAGGAATAAACAGAATCCTGATCAGCAAATTCTTTCCAACCATAAATTATGCAGCACATCTTCCAGTTCTTTAATACTGCCTAGTCTTGAAAGCTACAGGGATTTCACAATTCTTCCTGTAACATTTACAAAATATTTCCATAAATTTCCTACTTACTGAGCAAATAACATATCCTCTCCAGTTAATGTTCCTGACAGAGTCAGAACATCCACTCAGGGAACTACACAGGGAGCACCCAGCTGGTTCTCTCAACAGGAGAACAGCACAGACAGAGTTTGTGGGCTTGAAATTTTCCCAAGAAGAAAACCTGTCTTCAGGACAACAGCATAAGCAAGAATTGTTGCTGCAAAGACCCAGGGTTCTGGTTCATAGCCCTGCTCTCACAAGTGAATGGATGTGCAGAGCTTCCCCTGTCACTGAGCAGTGGTTATCCTGTATAGGATGTCTGTTTAAAAGGGGATAAATCCAAAACAACTCAAGGCTCCCTTTTGCCACCACCAAATTCAAATTCTAAAATCTAAGAAGAAGGCGTTACACGGGTGGGTAAAGAAATCATATCACACATTTTATATGGGTATTTTACTTTCTAAAATACCTCCTATGAATAGATCTTCCCCCAGTTTATAAGCAAAGCACATTTTAATAGTTTTCACTCAGTGCATGACCACAGATATTTTTATAGCAAACATATCTTCAAAACTGCATGTGGGACTCTCAGTGAGCAATGATCTAACTGGTGGAAGCCACTAATGATTAAACATTACCAACAAATGATCCTTTTCAGCCAGGCCTCAGTATGTTTAATTTCAGCCAACCCGCAGCATGAACTCCAGCCATGAATACATGCTGTCAGGCTTGTCACAGCAGGATGCTCTGGGTCACTAAAGCATGCCAGCTGGCACCTGCCTGGGATCCACAGCAGGCATGGAGTGATGGAGGAATACCACAGGCCCACGAGCTCTGTGCAGGGCAAGGCTGTGCCATGTCCTACGGCAGATGAAGGGCTGCTGACTTCCCAGGAACACTATTGTCGCCCTGATTTTGTAAGACTTTGTTAAGCCTTCTGACGTTTACATTCTTTCAACAAACTTTCTCACACACAGTTCTGTAAATAACCTATGTTTTGCATTCTTTCATGGAGGTGGAGAGAATTGATGGATCCTTGGTCTGTCCAGTGGCATTGGAGAGGTGGCACTGTCACCCTCCAATCCACTGTCACCTTTGGAAAACTATAAATGTTGGAGTCAGAAAATAAAGTTCCTTCTTTTTTGTTCCCCTCGAGAGCAGCAGTGTCTGTGTCATCATTTCGTGCCTTATCACAACACACTATCAATTCACAAACAGAAGCAGCATCATATCACGGTCCCCTGGTTTAGGATGCTGACTTTGTTTAGCAAGAGCCCTATTTTACACAACAAATTAAACATTTCAGATGTTTTTGGAAGATGGCAGAAGAGAAGGGAATACCTTGATGAGAGACATGTGAATCGCTTGTTAGAGTGGAGAAACAGAGATTTAGTTCCAGAAAACAAAACCACTGTTGTATCTGTTGCAAAATGTTAAATATGTAAAAATTTTCTTAAGAAAGGATGTTGTTTGATTTTTGTATACATTGTAGCCTAATCAAAAAGAAAGAAGAGTTAATCCGTGAAACAGATAGCAGCTAACAAGCAAGTTCTCAGTGGTGTCCAGGGGTTAGAAAGACAAATTTCTTGTTGGTAGAATTGTTTTATTAAACCTTATTAAGATTTAGGGCTTGACGTGATTCAGTGGTCTCAGACCTAGTGGGAGGTTAACAAAGGTTTAAGATGTAGGAAGAAGGATGAACCAATGACAGAGGACACAAAGAATGCAGAATTTACAGGCCACAAAGACATCTGACAGAACTCCCAAGATAAGGAAGACAACTCGGCAGCTGTGCTGAATCAGCTCGGAGTGGGTAAAATGTAATCCTGGGAGAGGGAGGTGGCAGCCACCGACTCAGACCATCAACTCAAGAAATCCACAGTCCCAAGAGAAGGGGAAGACTGAGCCTATGGACTAACTAGTATGGGAAATAGGAAAATCATTGACAAATAGAAGATAGAATACTAAGTAATAAGAGAACTAGGTAACTTCTAGCCAATTACCATTAATGCCTCATTTTTTCTAAAATACATATGAAGTAAAAAGTTGCTGTACTTGATTTCTGGAACATCACTGAGGACCCAGGCTTGTGCAACTCTGAAATAAATATTCAGTGTCTCTCTCGAGTGTGCCTGTATCAGCAACAGTGCGACCAGCAGGACCAAGGAAGTGATCCTTCCCCTGTCCTGCTGAGGCCACACAGCGAGTTCTGCGTGCAGCTCTGCGTCCCTCAATTCAGGAAAGACATGGAGGTGCTGGAGTGTGTCCAGAGAAGGGCAGTGGAGCTGGGGAAGGGCAGTGGAGCTGGGGAAGGGTGTGGAGCACAAGTCCTGTGAGAGCAGCTGCGGGAGCTGGGGGTGTTTAGGGAGAAAAAAGGGAGGCTCAATCTTGTCACTACAATTCCCCGAACGGGGCTGTAGCCAGGTGAGGGTCGGCCCCCCCCGTCCCAGGCGACCAGCGGTAGGATGAGAGGAAATGACCTCAAACTGCCCCTGAGGAGGTTTAGGTAGGAATTTCTTCACAGAACGAGCGATTGGGCACTGAAATGGTCGCCCGGGGGGTGGTGGAGTCACCGTCCCTGGAGGTGTTTAAGGAGAGCCTGGACGTGCTCTCAGTACCCTGGTCTGGTTACCCGGTGGCGATCGCCCCCAGGTTGGACGCGATGCTCTCGGAGGTGTTTCCCACCTAAGTGATTCTGTGACTACCGGCGTGCCGCACAGCAGCCCCGCTGACCAGGCCCCACCACCGCGGCCTTTCCCCGCCCCGGCTCTGCCCTCCCCCCGCGGGCNCGGGCGGGGCCGCGTGGGGGGCACAGCCCGCGCGCCCCACCCCGCCCCGCCCCCAGAACACGGTGTGGGCGGAGCCTCCACTCCCGCCTGCGCCGATTGGCTGAGGCGAACCACGCCCCCGGCCCCGCCCGTCACGAGCTCGCGTCCCACCCGCGCCGTCCCTGCCGCTGCCGCCCCGGGGGCTCAGCTTCCCTGCCTGACTGGAAATTGCCGCCGGGCTCGATTTTCCGCGAGCGGCGGGCGTGCTCGGGAGAGGCGAGCTCGCACTGCTCTGGTGCAGGCTACTGTATTTTTTCGGACTTTTTTTTTTTTTAATCTGATTCTGTCCGCGCTTTCCCGCGCAGGCGTCCCTGCCAGCCGGTGGGGCCCTTGAGCGTTACGGCGCCGCACAAGAGCCGGCGGGGGGCGGGGCGGGTCCTTTCGGCCGAGCCGTCGCAGCCGGTGCCCGCCCCGGCCCGCCATGTACTACAAGTTCAGCGGCTTCGCGCAGCGCCTCGCCGGGGCCACGGCGGCCGCCGCCTACACCCCACAGGTAACAGCCCGCACCCGGGCGGGGGCTGCGGCCCCGCGGGCGTTGGGTGAGCCGGGCAGGGATCGGCCGCCCCCGCGGGCACCGAGCGTATCCGGCCCCTCGCGTGACCTTGGGCGAGGCGGGAGGCGCGCTCTGCCCCGCAGCCCTTGAGTCAGCTCTGTGGTGTGCTGGGGCTTAGGGCAAGAAATTAACGCGGTTTCGTCACGAGGATTTTACCAGAGTTGAGCGGTGCCTGGCGGGGTTTTAAAATCACCGGATCACAGAATCGGTTCGGTTGAAAAAGCCTCCGAGATCATCGAGTCCAGCCTATGACCGAACACCTCCATGTCAGCTGGACCATGGCACCGAGTGCCACGTCCAGGCTTTCCTTAAACACCTCTAGGAACAGCGACTCCATCAGCTTTTTCTTTTGATTTTACAGGTCAGGGTTTAGGGCTATGGTTTGGGGTTAGGTAGAGCCCCTGCATGGTTATGGGGTGGCACCTGAGGGGCTGGTGGCAGCAGCTTTGTGCCGGAGCTCTGGAGGCACTGCCCGGCAGGAAGGCAGCAGCCTCCTGGCTGTATCACCCTGTGAGCTGCTGATGGAGGACAGCGACACTGTCCCCTCTCAGCACTTACTGGATCACATCCACGTGCTGTGTCCAGCTGTGGGCCTCTTGCTCTGGAAATAGCAACTGGAGCAAGTTCAGCAGAGGTCAGCAGCCAACTGAGGTTAGTAGGATAGAGCCAGGCTCTGCACAGTGGTCCCTGGTGGGAAGGCAAAAGGCACCAGGTATAAACTGCAAGAAGAGAGGTTCAGGCTGGACAGAAGGAAAGACATGATCCTGGTGGGAAGGGTCAGGCAGTGGAGCAGCTGCCTGGAGAGGCAGCCTGTGCACTCTGGGCTAAAGAGCATTAGAGGGCCCTTCCATCCTGAATTACTCTAGGATCTTATGTAAAGATTGAGGTGACAGAGAGTTTCTGATATGGCAGTTTTTGTCCCAAGAAGGTTTTTTGTCCTTGTCTTTCCCCATTGCTTTGGAAGGCTTCCTGGATGGATAGCTGTTGAGGTTCAGAGGTGCAAGAAATGGAAGACAGTGGAATAAATAATATTCTAGTATGCACAGCACTTGTACAGCAGCAATATATCCAGCACTACTGCAGTGATTGGATTGGCACTTCTTACCTCTCCAGACAGTTATGTTCAGAGAATAAACATTGATATTTCATGTACATAGTGGAGAGCAAAGGCTTGGGGGAGGAATGGGGAAGGACTTCAGGCTTAAACAGTCAAGAACCTCCTTTCTGGAAGTTACATTTTTAGAAGTTACTTTCAATCCCTTTTTATGATGTTATTAGGCCAGCTTTTTTTGTAGAATTTCCTTTTTTTTCTCCCTAAGCTTGACTGAATTCCCAGGTCACACATTTAGATGCATCAGTCTGCTAAAAATGTTTTCAATAAACAGCAGTTGAAATAAAGGTAATCCCATGAGTGTTAAGGTGTTAAGTTCAAAACGAGGTAATTTTTTTCCCTATTGATTTCATGGCTCCATTTAATTAAAACTATAGTTCAGCATGTAAAATGGTTTGCTTTTTATGCTTCTGTTTTTTATGATGTTTCTGGAAAAGTGAAGACATCCTACCATTCAAATTCTCCTTGGTAAAATATGCAGTATACTAATTCTCTTGGTTCTGTGCTGTTACATTCTGGTGCTTCCCAACAGAATACTGTTTTGCTTTAGGTTTAAATGTACTGTGGGCTTGCAAAATATCAGTCTAAACGGATTTCAGAAATTATTTTGCTGACAGTAACATAACTAACAGCTTATACTAACAAAAAAAGTCTCTTGAGTTTGAAATCTGTATTGTTCTTTCCATCTCAGACTTAGCATGCTTAGAAGACTTAATTTTGCATTTAACAAAGTTGTATAAAGTAGTGTGAACAATTTATCTTGTTTGAATAAATGGGAACTTCCTTAGCTAGATAAGAAGTAAAATAGTTTCAAAACTACTCCTCATATTTAGGAGGATAATGACTGCCATAACCATTACAACTTTAATAAAAAATATTAAAGAGTTAGCTTACATTTAAAGTACAGTCACCAGGACCAGTTTCAAATGGTGTCAGATGAGGACAAGTACATGAACTTTTCCCTAGTTCTGCTACTGAACACAAAAGAAATTTACTGGCAGAAATTTACTTGTACTACAGTATTTTCACTTCATGCAACTTATTTTGCTTTTAGCTAGTTAAAGTTTCCATGAGCCACAGATATTTTGATTTTAGCCAATATGAATTGCTTAGAGTTTGTTGAGAATCTATAATATGTAACCTTTTATGCCCTAGATAATACATACACAAAATCACTGTCACTGGATTGTCATCCCAGCACAAAGACTCAAGTGGTTTTACCTAAGAGCCTTGTGTTAGTCATAACAAATATATTTATCTTTAGGCAGTGAGGTGTATTCTACTGTGAAGGACCTGCTGCTTAGTTTAGGAGTGTCTAGGTTCAGTAGGTTCATAAAAGTTATTTCAATGCATGTTCTGAAATACTGATTTTCAGAGTAACTTTCCCATTCCCCTTTGGTCCTTTCCTCAGTTTTCTCTCCTTTCTCATTCTCAGATCTGTTTGAGAAACTTCCCTTACATTTAAAGAGTGGTGCTATCTCCATTAAATTATGCTCCAAGTCCTCAACTGTTTTTTGCTGTAAATCTAACTTGCAGGTTCACACTGGCAAGGTGTAAATTTGTTTTAACTTTGAGCCTGATGGCCAACCAACACATACATTGAGTCCTAAGATCCTCAGACCTCTGACAGGAAAACAAACACACTCTACAGAAGGGTAGGCAGAGAATTCTGTTTGCTCTTTTGGATTAGCTACGTGTCTTGACCTTTCATTGAGAACTTTCAGGACTTTGAAAAAGTAATTGCTGTATCATGCTGATGAAATCAGCTGATGTTGACTCTTCTGCATAACTACATCTGCTGTACTTTGTCCAAGACTTGGAAAAAAAAATCATGTTGTAGTGATTAAAAATAAAAGATTTAACACCTTAATATCAGAAGAGGAATTATCAATTATTAACTTTTTTTTTAAATGACGCATAGGTCAAATGTGTAGAGGCATTAGTTCCTCAGTACTATCCTGAGTGTAGTGAGACACTGATACCAGTCATTAAATAAACCCATGGTTTTAGTAATGTTAAATACAGTGACCAAGGGTCATTTAAGGTGTCTCAGTTCTTAAAAATTTTCTGCTGTGCAATTCAGCCTTTACATCACACTGTGGATTTCTTCCTCAGCCATGCTAAGCTTAGTAAACTGGGTGTGAGATAAAGCACTTGCCAGTTTCTCTCACTAACCACAAGTTACTGAGATAAGGCAAGTAACAAGTTGGAACAGCCACCCATTTGCACTAATTTAACTGGGCTTGTTTGGGGTTGGCCAAGACTCAATTCACTTGGAATTCAAGTGAAATTTTACATTGGTGAGGAACCCTAATTAATGCAGTGTCTGGATTAAGCAAACTGAACTGTCTCCCTTCTGCAGCATGTGTTTTGTTGTACTGTTTCCTGAAGCCAGTGAACAACATCAATGTTTTTTGTTTAAATTGCTATGTGATGTCCTGAAGTGGCACCATGCTGCTTTGGAAGTAATTTATACCAGTACACTGATGATTATGTGAGTTCTCTGAACTGTTTCCGTTTGATTTCACAATGAAGTTTGTCACTTGAGTCAGGTCTGACTCTGCTATGGCTCTTGCAGAAGGGAATCTTACAACCATCTGAACAGGAATATATTTCTAAAGGCTGAAAAAGTATGCAATAACCTACAGTTGTTGATTTACTAACTATTGATGTTATTAGAGGGCACTGCTCCTGAAAATGTTGGGCTCTCTGGAAAGCAGAAGGGAGATTAAGAACTAGAAACTTTAAGGCACAGGAAAGATGTGCATTTTCACATTTGCTGCAATACTAACAATCGAGAAGGCAAGAAAAGCTTTGGAGAAGAAGTCACCTGCACATTTAGTATAAACATCTGCCCTATAGTTATTTCCGTCAAATCACCAACTTTTTAAAGACAAATCTAATAAAATACTTACAGTTCCTATAGACAAAAATACTTGTCCAGAATTGCTTTCTTCAAGGCCTCTGATGTAGCTGGTACGTAGCCTTGAATGTATAGCTAGTAACTTCCCCTGGCTAATAATAGTTCTCTGGATGGTTCCTTCATAGCACTGTTGCCAGAACTGGTCATTGTTCTTAAATAATTCAGTGCTTGCCTTCTGTGCAAACCTACTCAGCAGGAAGGCATTAGTTACTGAATGTGCTGAGAAATTCAGTTTTGCTGCTGCCTTTCAAAACATAACCAGAAAGGTCACAACTGGATTCAGTCAGGCATTAGAAGAATGGGAAGCCGAACCCACATCTTCAGGGTATAGCACTGATGACCATTCATTCCATAGGCTATTTTGGGAGGCTGAGAAACCTGGTTTTTCTGCTGAAGATGCCTGTTGCAGCAGAGAATTTGCATAAGGAAAACACATCTGGTCTGTGGCTGGCACAAAAGAAAGAGTGCCCGTCTGCTTCCAGCTCCGAATACTGTCAGACAGTTCTCTTCAATATAAAATGCATCAAGTAGTCCTTTGAACAGAAACCAGAATTTCAGTGCAGTCTTAACTTGACCTGTGACTGCTTCTGTTTGTAATAAAAACCTGTTGCATTGAACTGACTGTACAATGCTTTTAAATTCTGTGGCAAGTAAGGAAAAAGAAATGCAGCTGTTTTGAGAACCACAATGTGAAACATCACTGCTGTGTGTCCAGACATAATCTAAATTTAACTACAGTAATAAAGACAAGGAGGCCACCTTATATTGGCTGTGACTTTGTGCTCTTAATCACAGAACTTAATTATGTAGTTTCTAGGTATGGCAAATACCTACAATGCAAGTACAACCTTGTGAACTGAAAGGAAATTGAGCTGTGCTTCTCATGGGACATACATTGGGGTGTGGGAAGTTGCAGCAACATTTGAACTATACGATGTAGTTACACCTGCACAAAATGTGTACAGTATTAGGGTCTCTGAAGGGCCTTGAGCACCACTTACAACTTCTGTATGACCCAAATGATCCTTATACTTTTTTTTTTTTTTTTGAATCCAAATTATTTAAGGCCCAGTTTTTTATGGCTACTGCTTGCAGCATTCAGGAGGTAGTGCTCATTCCTCACTCCGACCTTAGCTTCAGGGATCCTTGATCCTAATCCTACTGCTCAGAGAGAGTTCTAGATAGACTGTGTGCAAAACAAAAGCAGTAATTTGGACCAAGTACCAGCACAGAGAAAATAACAGTTATAAATTCATGCCATGAGGAGATGGGAAAGGAGGCTGCTATTTTCCTTCCTAAGCTCTGACCCCAAGTTGTCACCGAGATATCGGTGGGCCAACAATGTATTTGTCTCAAGTCTTCATACCAGATAAATACTCTTTGTAATGTATCCTTGTAATGACTGGCAGTGTGCCTTCCTAATGTAACAATTGGTACATTTACACGTGTGGTATACCTTGATATTTTAATCTTTATTTATGCAGGGACTCAAACCATTAGTTCCCACTGAATCCCCAGATCTGATTTTTGGGACAAGTAAACCAGCTCCAGGTTTACCAGCAGCTGATCCTTTCTTGAGTCAAAACAAGGTGCCAGACCTACAGAAAGTGTTTCAGGTAATGACAATTTTGAGAGTAACTTAAAGAAAACTGGAGAGTGGGACAAAGGAAACTGGAGAGTGGGACATATCTGTCCTTATTTTAACATAGCTAACTACTTTTTGCCGTTCTACAATACCTAAATTCTGTAAAGTCTAGTCAAGAAACTGTTACATACAGTATAACCTGTGTACTTGTACAATACTACAAAGTATATAATATTCCCTGTACAGTAGATAAATACAGAAGGTGGATAAATGCAGTAACATTGTCTTTTTGCTGAAATTGGTTGTTTGACTATTGGAAGCACTTCCTCTATGGGAATCCACGTGTATGCCTTAAAGCAGATGTGGAAGAGCAAAGCAAATCATTATTGTTTTGTGTATAATAATTTGAATGTTGCTGAAGCTGTTTATAGTGCAGTATAAGAGCACCACAGTAAAGTTTTCAAAGGCAGTTTGTTAGCTATGGAATTTCTAAATGTAGGACTTTTCTTAAAACAAATTAGTTAGTCTTTTGTTTAAGCCTCAAGAATGTGCTTTATGTAATGTTCCCTTTTCTCTCTTACATGCCACTTCCATTTGGAATGTGTCAGTCTGACTTGGTGAATAATTTTTTGTACATATCTTTTCACATTCTGTTGTTAGTGACACTTCTCCCATCCAGGTCCTCTTGAGAAACATTTCAAGATATATTCTTTCTGCTTGCACTTAACAGCTTTGGCTAACAAAATTAACTGCTTTTGCATTTGTCTTGCTAGACAAAATACACTTGGTTGTAGTGAGCCTGCTTGTCAGGAGGTTTCCCTCTCAGAAGTCTCTTAATTTACTCAAGGTAGCTTATTCCTCAATGACCTCAGTATGGGTGTTAATTTGTTTTTTGCTTGTTTTCTCCTTGACCTCTTCCCACAGAGATCAGATGGCCTGCCAGTACACCTGAAGCTAGGATATCCAGACAGGCTGCTCTATCGGACCACGATGGCTCTGACAATAGGAGGGACTATCTACTGTCTGGTGGCACTGTTCATTGCCTCACAGCCAAAGAAACAAAAATGAATGAACCACACCTCATGGGACTCTCAGCACTCGACTGAAGGATCTCCTGCATGTACCACTTTGCACTTAAATCTGTTCCCTGTGATCACATAGGGTTCATTGTTCAGATCGGATTTCTTGGAGAAAATGTTTTTAAATCAGTTGCCTTATGTATTCTAAAACACCAATATAAACAGAGAAATACAATATTTTAACATATGGTTGTAGCTTTTCTTGTCTTGCAGGAGTTAATAAACAGTTGGAGAAAGTTAAGCTTTTCCTTCCATCTCTTACCTAACTTAAACAGTGTTAGAGAGAAGACAGGACAAATAATTTGTGAGCTATGCACCACATTCCTTAGTGGAAGGATGCTGCTAGTTTCCAAAACACTAAAAGCAAAAAATTTAATTATAGCATACTGGGAACCTGTTTCTGTCCTATACTTTTCCAAATCCTGGTACATGAAGTAAATAATATACCACCTCTGGTGGTAGGACAAAGGGCTTGTCTCCCTGGAGCATTTAAAGTGGATTTATTCCACATCTGTAGCATCACTGTATGCAGCAGAGTTCACCATTATTGTAGCATCAGTTATACCAGTTTTTGGACGTTCCTTTGTCAAACTGTATTGTCATGCAATAAAGATAGCTACATGAATACTGAAAGAGTCAAGTCTCGAGTTTCAGAGCATTTCAGCACACCTGGTAGTGAAGTAAACATATTGGTGCACTTACAGGTTCAACTTGAAGATCTCAAATAATAAAATTTATTCAGCTACCTTGCTGTCATCTTTTTGAGATGGTAGGTCTCTGAAAACCTCTCCCAGACTGCACTGTGTGTTTAACTATAATTTTTGGTGAAACAGGTTGCTGTCATAATTCCGCTGCTTACTGTTTCCAATGCCTGCAGATAGTTATTTATATACACTCATTTCTGTAGATGGAAGAGAGATAAGCCAATACAACCCTTTCTATTACCCTTGTAATAGCATAGCCTTGAACTGCAAGTTTCATACAGGTCTTCACAAAATGCATCCTCTGATTTCATAGTTGCTCCTCTGCCCCTGAACATTGATTTGCTGGTCTCTGTAAAGACTCATCTGTCTCAGAACTGTGCAGAAACAACCTTCAAAGTAAATAAGAAAAATAGTTGATAAAGGAAACTAAAACTGTCTTTTTTCAATCTTTACTAAAAAAAATCTGATTTTTTTTCCACTTAAGTTACATCAAAGCCTTATTACTGTTATAGGAAAGAAGAGAGATGCTCATACTGTGATCTCAGGTTTCAGTCAATGTTGGTATTTTGGGATGGGAGAGATTGAAGTCAATGAAAAATAAGTTTTCTAAGGACAGCAAGAGTCAAAGAATAGCAGAGAATAAATTCTGCAGGAGCTGACAGTTGTGTTGCCTCTACTGATAAAATATTTTCTCCTCAGTAGCCCATGCTTCCATGGCACTCAATCTTGTGCTGTAGCCTGTTAAATACTACAAAAAAGAAAAAAGTAAGAAAGAAAAAAGAGAAAACAGCACAGTAGGTTGTTGTCTGTCTTCCCTACATACCATCTATCAAGGACTGCCTACAATTATTTTCTAATAAAGGATATTGTGCACGTAAACTTGACAGATAGATTTTTATGAAGCTGAGCTCTGTTCAGAGTATTTCCATGCTCTTAGTTTTCTGATTTGGTTTTGGTTTTATTGGAGGAATGGGTTAGGGACTTTCTTTTTTTGTTCTTTTTCGTGATAGTACTGGGTTTTTTGTTTTAAACCAATTCTTTTTAGCACTCATCTAGCAGGTAACAACTTTCTGCTTGCTGCTAAAGCAGATGTGGGTAAAATAACCAAACTGTTATCCCACAGCTCATTAGCCAGTGGGAATACTCTCACGGAAGGAATGACAGCCTTAGCACTCAGGCCCAGCCTGCTTAAAGTAACTCAGCTAGGACACTGGGTTGAAGTTAGAGGTCATGGCTGAAGCCACAGCTAGCAGAATTGCCATGGGCCTCCCTTTTTCCAGCTCTATGTCAGCAGCTAAGAGCACACACCAGAGGGACAAAAACCACCCATCAGATTTTGCAAATAAACAGAGACTACATAATCCAGTGCACCTTTCTCCCCCTTCTCCCCCGCAGTGTCTGGATTTTGAAGAACTGTATTCATTTGCTCTTCTCGCAAAAGCTGACCCAGTTGAATCAGGATGAGAGTTCTGCTTCAGCTTGTGAGATTCACACCCATGGTTCAGTTGGGGGTTAAAGAACAAAGAGGCTTGTCTGCAGCCATTGGGTACTGCTCCAGGTATGAGAGAAAGGGGAGACTGCATTTCTGTCTTCCCTCAGCAAAGTGCTCTGAAAACTGGAAAAAGTTTCTAAGCTGTAACCGCATTAGTCTGTGGCAGCAAAATTTTGCCCCTTTCCTCAGTTAGTTTTGAGATCATCATGAAGAAATCACAACATGGTAAATCCTTTTTCTCCCTAGATAAAACAACTCTTAAATATATCTGTTTTAAAATACTGATGCCAGACTTCTGTGAGGATTCAAAAGGGTCCAAGTGTTTTGAATTATTATTTGTGATACAGAGACCTAATTGTCATCTAAAGCCTTCAAGAGCACTTACTTCTAAAAGGAGTAGTCTGACCCTGGTCTGATTGTTAAATACTTAGATAAGGAGAACCATGGGTGACTTGCAGCATCAAGGCTACTTCAATATTGTGAGTTGTCATCCCCAGAAGTAAGAATCTGATGGGAACTGCAACTTCATTATAGAGTTCTTGTTTTATAAAGACCCTCTCCGTTTTCTCTTAAAAAATGTGCAACCTACCAACATAGAGGACTGGGGGCGGGGAAAAAAAACCCTCTTTTTAAAATAATAGCTTATACTCTAGTATTTTGGTTTGAATGTATATTAGAGAATAAATTATAATAAGCTCTCATACCCCAAGGTGCTGTGTTTGGAAGGGAAAGCAACTGAGATTTAGAATACAATGGAACAAAATTATCTCATGGATAATCATCCATCCCCCATGGCATTATCTCATTGTTGAGAGACAATGGTTTTCCTTCTTAAATGATTTCTGTGGCAACCTGGATTCAATAGTTGTATCTTTGTAATGGTTTTTAAATAAGATCTCCTCCCCTACCTTTTGCGTGGGAGTAGTAGAATAAATGCATTTGAGAAGACATTGATAGTATGCACATGTGTCTTACAGCTGCTTTAGGAATTAAAGTATGTTAAGGAGAGGATTCCTGCACAGTATTGTAGTGTGACCATACAGTCTCAAAAGCCTTTTGCCTTAACATTTGACATTGTCAACAGACTGATTATTTCCATACTGAGACATTTAACTGTTTGATGTTGCCTTAAAGCAAAGCTTTCTAATTAAAAGACTGTAAGGAATAAAAACATGAGAAACTTGAAAATTGGGAATCTAATCTTACAGACCTAAAAAAAGCCAAAATGAGTGTTTAAGAGCAGTTTCTTTGTGTACATGTACACTGTACTTATTCTATCTTTATCTTCCTTTCTGCCTTCTAAGAGGCTCGAAGAATCACAGATCAGATGGGGAATTTTTTGGTGACTTCTCTCGCAAACCATACTCCTGCAGATCCTAAAACTTGAAAAATTCAGATGCTTTTCTACAAAGAGAAAAATAGGTGTGTATTGCCTAAGTTGTGTATAAAATCATGCTAAACTGTTCTGAGAAAGGTGTAAGATACCTGCATTTTATGACATAGTAAATTTTTCCCCTTTCCTGCCCTTCACCTCAGCTAAGAGTTTCACAAGGAAGCCAAAGCTTGATCGCTCTTTTAAAATGGACAGTGGGAAGAATTTGCCTGTATTCTAAGCATTAATGTCAAGCAGTAGGCACAATAAACAACACTTAAAGCATTTTGCATATTCAGTACTAATTGCATCTTCATTTATAAAAGATCATTATTTTGAAACAATTCCAGTTAGCTGCAGTGCAAGTGACACACAAATTGCTAAGACATAGAAGCATATTTGCTGTGAGAGGGAGTACAGGCATTTCTATAATCAGGAAATAAGGTAGATGCTGTCAAGCATCAGTGTGGTATCTCACTAACATCAGATCTTATCTCCTGGTGCTTCTCACGTGATCCCAGACTGCTTTTGGATATGGCACTAGACAGGAGGAACCACTTGTACTTGTTTTTTGTACTTTTAAGTATCTCAAAATACAAGAAAGTTGAGTTCAAGGGTCTGTTTTCTCATACATACACCCCCCAGTCTATTGCAGGCAGCCCAGATCTACAAGCCCAGGGGCTACAAGAAGGCAGTCATCATCCTCTGGCTCCAAAGAGACATGATACTCCCTGATAAAATGTTTTTCCTGAATGATTTTGCCCAGTGGATCCAGTGCTGCAAAACTGGGGGCGTGGGAAAGAGGGAGAAGTATTTTTCCTCATTTCATCAGCTGCATACCACTCTCGCTTTTCCCCCTTCCTCACTCCCACATTTTTATTTTGAAGACCATGAAAATTTTTCTAGCACTTCCTTTTTTACATAATTTCTTAAATATTCTGTCCCACAAAAGAAATGGAATTGTTTCTAACAGCTTCAGAATAAATTCTGAAATATTAATATCATATTCATATAGTCTGTCACATGTACTTTTTCTCTGCAAGCTGGAACAAGCCCTGGAAGTCTCCTTTGTCAAGTATACAATCCTGCCAGCCCACTGAAAGTCTTACTTTAGTGAGAAGTCTTTGAAGAAGCTGTTCTACAGGTGTGCAAACATAGGGGCATCAAATGACTCGCTGCTTACAAGCATCAGACTGGATTTCAAAGAAAGAGAGGAAATACTGCTTCCCTGCAACATTCTTACACTTCAAGCCATGTTACCTCAAATGCATTTTTGTACCCTTTTTCATATCTTCCTTACAATTCAGCCACACATATTCATTTTACTATAAGTGCTTTATCTATTTATGGTGTGGTGCTACCTCAGATATCTTTGATACATTTCACCACTGAGACCTAATTTTGCACACCCCAAATTGGAAATTTAGGCATCAGTTATAGTGTGTGTCTATTACAAAGCTCTCACTTGAGGCATGGAGACAGCTGACAGCATCCATGACAGAGTTCATCATGCCCTGCCTGGGTTAGTCCAGATGCTCTTCCAACCACAGGAAACCATTCTTATCCTTTTGAAAGGTTCTTGTTACATGTGAGGAAGAACATCTCTGTAATCTTCAGTTGCTTACCTACTCACAAGAGAAGGCTGTACATTGTCTAATCCACAATACTGCATA